GGCTGGCTGGGGTTCTTCTTCCAGTACAATAGCAATGAAGATGGTGAGATTTGACCCTTTTTTCTAAATGCTGTACCCTGCAAATTGGTTGGACCCCTTAATTGTTGCTGCAATGGCAGGTACTTGGCTGCCTGACTGGGCTATGCTGGCTGGCTCTGCTTGCTTGCAGTTGCTCACAGAACTATCTCCCTTACCATCTGTGTGTGTGTGTGTGTGTGTGTGTCCCATTTCCCTTTACCTGGCAGGGAAATCAGGGCCCGTTTCATTCTATATAAGAAATCAGGAGGGAAAATCCAAAATCTATTTAATAGTCACGAAAAAGAAGGAAACACAGTCAGAATCAATTCTCCACTAAATTGAATGGAGCAGTGGAATCTGGATGAGGATCAAGCATTATTTGGCAGAATTTGGATTGGGACCGAAAAATAGGCTCTTTGCAAATTTGGCATTGAGGCCCGTATTGATACCCTTATTGATACCTCTGTACGGCTAAATCACCCGTGTGGGGATTCATGTCTCGACTTTTCCCAGAAATAGCTGGAACTTGTGATGAGGATTAGAGTTTTAATCTAATTGCAGGTGGGCTTTTGTCTTTTTCTTTGCATTCTGTGTGAATTCTGGAAGTTAGTTAGTTAACTGTTTAATTTGGCAGAGGAGGATCTATCTAGACTCACGGCATGTGTGCCTTTAGTGTTACTTTGATTTGCATCTTAAAACCTGGAGAAAAGGAGTTTTTAATGCTAAAGCATATGCTCCCCTCTTCAATTCAGCTTCTCACTTAAAACCTTCTCTCACTAGGTTATGCTCCCCTCTTCAATTCAACCTCCCAACTGAAACCTTCTCTCACAAGGTTAGGATTGGACCTTGTGCTTACTGACAATCCTCGGTCATTGTTGTTGAATTCTGGAAGTAATAATAATGTCACTAAATTTGTGTCATCTTTCCTTTGAAACAATCATGTTAGTTTTAGGGTGCTTCTAATGCCACCACAATTTTTGCCACTGCCACCCACTTGACATATTTTTCTAATTTTTTATGGTTAATTTCAATTAATTTTCATATTAATAATCTATTCAAACAAAAATGTTAAATTTAATGTTAAATGATAAAAAGAAATATTGAAAATAAGTTGTGGTGGCAATAGCAAAAATCATGGTGACATGTGGTGAATGGCAAATTATGGTAACAGTCACAACATCCTAGTTTTATACCAATTCTAAGAAAAATGGTACACCTCTACAAACATACTGAAGAGATTCTAAACCAGTAGAGGAATATTAGATATCAACAAAGGATGCTGTTAATGATGGGCTCTAATGAAATTCAAACACCAAACCATGTTGATTGACATGGAGTTAGTATAATGTCATGGCATTGAATCAATTGGAGGGTTCACATGAGCCCTGGCAGTGTCCAATCAACAAAACAGAGACACAGCAGCAATAACTCCATCCACACTCAATGGATCCACCTCAAACTATCCATTTCAAAACTTAAACCCCACTGACTAACACACCCTTACAGCAGTACTGGGTTACTAAATTCTAGTGGTAGCCTCAATTGGAGGGAGATGCAGCACTGGTTCCCATGCCCTGTTCCCCATGACACCCAAAGCAGTTGAAATTTGAAAAACAAGTGGGGGGTGTGTGTGTGTGTGTGTCTGTGTGGTATGGACTTAACCTAATTATTGTTGTGGTACTAAGCCCTCTCTCCCATGGACAACTCTGAAGGGAACATGTGTGTACGGGTGTGTCAGCTGCTTTTTAAAAGCGCTGATCTCAGCCTTGGAATTCTTCTGTCCTGAAAGCTATCTATCTGAATACCATTTGGCTCTAGAAGCTTGGAAGTTTGGGTCTACCATGCAAAAAAACAAAAAATGAAAAACAAAAAAGCCTCAATATTCCCTATTCCCAAGTAGAATCTTCGAAGGTGGAGGTCCATTGGAGGCACTGCCTGATGTGATGATACCAATGGATGAGTGTCCAAACCCTAAATAGCCAATCTATCCTTTTGTTTTAGAAACTGAGTGTATTGTGGTACCATAGTGCTCAACATGAATGTGATTATACCCTATCAGATTTCAAAAATGGCTGGCCTAAGACATGGAAAGAGTAATCAAACTTAAGTAGATAAGAAAGGCCACCCGCTAATTGCAATTTTTGGGGGTTTTTCTCTCAATGGTTGCTGAAGTAGTGTGGACTTGCTTGTGTTTGCTTTTGATGCTCCAAACAGGGCAAGTGTCTGGAGTATTGAATGGTAAATTAAATGATATGAGATGTTGCCTGTTGTTGAATGAACCACAGCTTCACTGTTTCCACCTTTTGTGGGGAATAAGCTGACTGTAATTAATAGATTGATATTACTTTCCAGGATGATCATCTCAACGTCAAGACCAATCACACAATTCTTTCCCAATTTGTAGTTATCATTAATGTATTGCATATTCAAGTGAAGTATTTGTGGACAAAAGCCATTATCATACCATTTCAATGAAGGGAAATAGAATTTTGATGGGGGTCTATCTCCAAAAGAATCATCTATTTATATATTTTTTAATTTTTTTTTTAATTATCTTTCTTGCCTCTTCTCAACGATTTGCAATAGTTTCAAAGTGTACATTTTAATTCCTTTGCAACAAATAAAACTGTGTAAAATCAAAAAACAAGAGATGAGAGAGAGAGAGAGCGAGGTCTTGAAAAAGTAGCAGGATTTGATGAGAGTACCCACAGACCTGAATTAAAGTTACACTTGGACAGCTAACTTTTCTTCACCTTCTGTCATGGAAATGGCCTTCAGCACGAGGGTTCATTCTCCAGGCTGTTGCTCTGTGGACGAATCTCTTATTTATTTTCCCAATTATCATCCATCCACTTGCACACCGTTTTCATCCTGATAATTCAATATATGTTCACACTCATTTATATTTTTAAAAGAACAATCCTTACTAACATTGGATCTTCTTTTGGAAGCTCATATATTTGCTATACAGAAAGCAACAATATCCAACTGTTGGGATTCCAACCAGGTGACAAAAAAATTCATCCAGAATCATCAAGGATGAATGAAAATCATGCACCAAACATCCTGTGCAAAAAATCATTGCAAATTTGCAATGCCCACATAGTTGAGATTTTGAAATCAATGCCTTGAATTGATGCGTCCATCCTCAGCAGGTTTAAAAGAAAAATTGGTAGAGGCCAATAACTTTCAAGCCATTCAAAGCCATCACTCATCTCTCTCTAAAGTTGATAATGGGTTTTTTTCCTCAATGAATGAGAAGTTGATTGCCCCATGGCTCACATCATTCCCCCCTCCCTGCTTCTTATGGAAAGGAAAGCCAATTTTGATATTGAGCAATGATACTTTTAATTGAGATTCTTGTATGAAAAAAAAAAAAAAAAAAAAGAGAAAAGAAAAAGGACCTAAAGCATAACAACAATAATAGAATTTTGGTTGCTGAAGCATGTAGAACAAAATCATCATGCAAGATTGAACCCAGCTGCTGAAACAGACCCACTTTGTAAAGAAGAGGGGAAAACAGAACTATGATGTTTTTACCATGGATTGAAGGCAAGTTAATATTAGTGTGCCTTGATGGTGGAGTTCATGTTTTCTCGCCACATGAAATCTCTGTTTTTCACATGAAGTTGCTGTAAATTGTGCCCCATGTCTTACATTTCTAGAACAGGTTTAGAGAACATGGTGCATTGTGCCTTCTTTGCAACAAATTGCCAGCCTAACAATAAAAAACAGACAGACCTGATTTGTGTATCATATTCTTAAACTTATGTAATGAAAGCATAGTTAACTTGAAATTAGATTGCTAATTACTGTACTTTGATATAAGTTTTTTTTTTTGTTAATAATCTTGGTACTTACCACTTTCTGTGACAACATCAAATGACAAACATGGAGTCCCTGTGGTTTGGAGAAAGATTCAATTGCTGAAGATGATGGAGAAAAGCCTTTGGTAGGAATATGTGGGCCATTTTGCTCTGGAAAGCAATTTTTGTCTTTGAACTACATAATTGTTATTCTTCAGCTGAGTTCTGCACTTTTTATTTTATTTTATTTTATTTTGAATTATTTATTCTTTATTTATTTACTTTATAATCTTCATTGCATTCCCAAAATTTACAGGTCTTGAAAATGATCTTCATCAATCTCTACTTCTCAAGACACTATGGTATCTGGAGAATCTCCCCAAGAAAATGATTTAACATCTAAAAATACAGATATCATTTTCTGTGCTGTCAGCTTAGCAAAAATGGATTCATCTGCACCTCAAGTTCACAAAAACAAGGGAACTGTAGCAATAAAGAAAATAAAGAAATAAAACAAAGGAATTATGTCCTCTGGTAAACATTGAACCAAGCAAGAACAATGTGCCAATCCAAGACACAGTTTTCAGAATGCATCATTTATACCATCACACCACAAACAGACTCATGATCACAATGCCCTTTCATTCAACACATGTGAGAGTTCCATTCAACATGCCATTCAATTTTCAGTTATGTTTTCCACTGCATTGCCAAAAGTCAATTCCACCATTCCATGATACCTCAACAGGTATAACAACCCATATCCCAAGGAGGCTTTTATTTATTTTCTTTATTTTTGAGCATCACAGAGCTAGTCACATAGGCATTCACAACAAATCAGTAAAACCAAACCTTGAAAGTCACAGTGTGACACACTTACCACCCCCATTAACCTAAGTTCATAAAAGTCACTCTAAAAATCATCTCCCACAAGGTGATGAAAAATGGGAAGGGTGAAGAGTAACTGGGCAGAGTGAGCAAGTGGTAAGATTGAAGAAGAAGGAGAAGAAGAAGAGCCTTGACTCAGGCTGGAAACTAGGTTAACTATCAGCCCTAAATGGAATGGCAGAGGGAGGGAGGGGAACATTATGTTCCCCCACGACGTTCTCAGTGGCATATCCACACTCAATTATGAGAGTCCAGTCTCGCGGTGTCTGTGCGCGCAGAGAGAGATTCCTTGGCAGCGCCGGCCACTTCATTTCTTCTTTTGTTTGCCCCCATTTTTTTTTTTCTTTTTTTTTCTTTTTTGGGTTGCACTTTCTACCAACGCTCATCGCTGATTTGTGTTTCTCTTTAGCCGCTGGCAAGAGTGTTGGTATTGACCCAACCTTCTCTCACCTATGATGGAATGAATCCCAGGCTGTGGAGCAGCAGCATCCCAGGTTGGTTCATTTTGCAGGCCTTGTGGAGGAGCATTCCACCGTAGGTTCGCATGGTAGTGTGCGGCCCCCGGATTTGCTCAGATACTCGCTCAATCTCGCGCGCTACCAGTCAAGCTCTAGAATCTCGTCACAATCATACCTGACAACTAGTGTGCCGGTGGTGGAGAAGTAATTCAGCAGGGCGGGGAGTAATTAGATCGAGCTGTGTGGAGGTGTGTGTGTGTGTTTGTGGGGAGAGCGAGGGACCTTGAGGTTGGTTGTTCACTCGATTGAATGCGGCTTTGTGGACTTTCCAATGCGCGTCGCTGGGATGTGCGGAGGTTGAGTCGCTGGGCGGCAGCACGGGATAGTGTGTCCATAGTAGCTTGAGGTAGAGTTTAGTGGTGATCGGTTGTCATGTTCTTCAAACTTGTAGAGAGTCGCAGCGCTGTGAGTGGTGGGATGTTTTGGTCCCATTGAGTGTTGTGCGTGTGTGTACGTGTGAGGGCGTAAGTTAGCACGCTCTGGGGGACGTCCAATCTTCGAAGTTTTGGCTGCAACTCGTGAAGCGGTCTCCTTTTCAACCTGGTTCGTGCTAATACTTGAGAGCGTGGGCTACTTCGAGTTTCGGACCTCTTTTTTTTTTTTTTTTTTTTTTTTTTTCCCTTTTTCCTTTGTTTTCGGTAGATTAGTCGTAGCTCCTGATTGATCGCGGAGGTGAGTGCAGTCGTGTTTCTGTTGCGTTACAGCTCCCCCATAGCTCAATGGTAGCGCGAGACAAGATAACTCTCCCGGGGTTGATCAACCATCCTAGTTACTAATTTGGGGATACTATTACTCTGTGTGCAATTGAGTGTGGGGGGAGTAGTAGACGTATAGATTGTAGTGAATGGCCGGCAGTTTTCCGATCGAACAGTCACTTCGAATGTGCGACACCGAATGCGAACTTGGTCATAAGCACCGCCCAGCTGATTTCAATGGCGCTATCCTTTCCTCTTCACCTCCACATGGCAAGGGACAAAAGTCCGGTGGAATTGGATGGAGGACTCTTCGCCACTGCCATGAGTCCTGCAGTAAGCTCGTAGTCGAAGCAAGTAATGACGCCCTTCAAGCGCTCCGATGCCGACCCGATGGAGACCAGCTTAGGTGTTGAGTCGCTGACGGAATACATGTCGTGAAGATTACAGTCCTCTTTTTTCCTTCATCTCTCGGGGATTCAGGGTTGTAGCTGGTGCAATCACAATTGTGGACATGCAACCTATCCTGAGCTGGACAGGGAGAATCTCAGCTCACACTTTGCTGCATCAGTGATTATCCGTAGTCATGGAAATGGTAACGGGGGAGATCAGAACGCCGTCATACCCAACCATGCAGTCACCGCGATACGGAGGCTGCGTGAGTGCTTTCTTTCAATTGTTCGAGTGGAACCCCGCTAAGCGCTTCTCCTCCAATAAAAGGCTGCCAGCAAGTGAGTACTGCGTTTCCTCTCTCGCAGCGTCAGGGATTTTGGAAGAACACGATATAGCTTAGAAATCAGCTGTGTTGTAATTGGTTGCCAGTGTAAGTTTGAAGCTTCCATCCTTAACGGAAGGTAGATGAAATGTTAAAGTGAGGTATCTCAACCCCAGAATAAGCCGGCGTCTTTGTGATGTTCGAGAAGTCCTTTTCGTTGTGGATTGGATCGAAGTCCGAGGGTCAAAAGTCTTAGTTATTGATCAAAGTCTTAAGACGATGTGGAAGATATGAGTATTCTTGATGAGTTCTTTGAGGCTTGTTCAGGAGAAATGGAAGCCTAATAGTGTTGCATCACTGACCGTGTTATCATCTGTTATTGCAGGTAAAGCAGAGAAAGCGTTTCGAAGATCAAGAAGTTTTTGCAGCGACCATGGTTCGGCATCGAAGTCGCGAATGGTATAGCACACTTGAGAATTAGAGCTTGGGTACTATTTGTATGAATGTTTTGATTGTTTGATTTTTTTTTTTTTTTTTTTTTTTTTTTTGTGGGTTCGAATGATCGTCTGTTGTGATTTTCTCATAACCACCGTAGGCATTTGAGTTGCAGATGTGTGACGTTCAAGTGCGGGGAAACGGAGCAAATCAACGTGACGACGTTCCTGCAGCTGCCGACGAGGATGCAAGCACACGAGCCCCAGGCGTGGTTGCCCGCCTCATGGGATTAGAATCTCTCCCGGACGGCCCTTACCAGCCCCGACATAGCCATCGCCGCTGCCAGAGCTACTCCGGAGAAGAATTTGTTGCCCAAAACATCGATAGAGACGAACACCGCAGATCGACGCCAGTGTTACTCCAGGATTTGCTCAAGCGAGACTTCAAAAGCTCCAAGAAAACCCTGCGGGACAGAATTCCAGGATTTGCTAGAAAAACGCAGGAGCCATTCGAAAGCAGGTTCACGAAACGAAGCGCGTCAGCTTTGATTGCCCTTCGCTGCACCTCACGAGAGGACTCTTCGTGCATATCGCCGTATGCCATTGACATCCCCGAATTGCAGAGCCGTTTTTACGCACAGAAAGCAAAGGGTGGCAAGCAACCGTTTCTCTCTCGCCTTCCACCGTCATCGCAGTTGGACACGCCAAGCGAGAGTCCTTCGACGATCAAAGCAGTCAGCCAGCTTGTTGGTAAGATTCCGGAGCTCGGCTTGCAAGGTAGCAAACGACACCAAATTCTCCAAGGGTGGCCATTGGCGGGGCAACACAATGTCCCCCGTGATATTTATCACGATGATGACAGCCCTTCTTTCTTGAGCCTGGAAAGCTCCCTGCAGGAGAGTTTCAAGAGTGTCGGTAGTCAACCTATAACAGACTCTGCAACGTCGCAACTCTTCGTGTCATATTCTGGGAGCAAACTGCTGCCAGAGGGAGGAACAACGACCTCATGGAACGGGAGCGAAGACAGCGAGACGACTCGTGAGGAGCAAATGGACAAGTGTGCAAGGCATTCTCGTAGAAAGCCTCGCGTTGGTAGAGCAACCTCGAAGAAAGCAACAACGCCTGTGCAATCACAGTCACCGCCGCGTCACCGAAATGGTCGATCGAAATCTGTCAACAGCAATGTTGGCCGCCGTGAGGCGGCTGTGGGGGAATTCAAAACTGTCAGACGAGGTTCTCTCCCGAAGGGTCCCAGAATCACAAATGTGGAAGCTAGCATCAACCCAGAGTGTTCTAGAACAAGCTCAGTGATATCCCACGAGTCATCGACAACGTCGCAAACCTCATTGCCGGCAGGAAATGCTAAACGATCCGTCTCTTCAAGAGCGAGGGGTAAAAGTGCGAAGTCAGGTACTGAAGGAGCGCGTTCAGCTGTGGCCAAGTCTGCCTCGTCATCAAAGCCTGTTCAACTGAAAACTGATGCGACATCGACAAGGAGCAAGGTTAAGGAGGAGGATGAACAGCGCGTGGAGAAGAATGAGACTGCGTCACGTTCATCTTCCCGATCTGGTGTGGCACCTGGAAAGCCTATACCGATTCAAGGAAACCGCGTCCCCAAGGGCATAAAACAAAACGCGCAGCAGGAGAAGGCAGCTTCGATGTCCGGCAGCCGTGTGTTTCCAGCTATTAGCCCCTCCAAAGCGCCAGCTCCAGTTGCACAGAATGATCTTCCCAAGTCGAGCATTCTCAGGTATGGCAGACTCTTCGGGGGGCGAAAGGAATGGGACAAGCCTAAACGGGGAGGTCGAGACGTCAACATGCGGTCATCGTCACCCACGCTTCAGAGATTCACCGAGAAGGTGGCTATGCAGACGACGAGCAATACATCGCAAGGGAATCATGGAACAAGCACGTCAAGCGAGGCATCGGAGCTTCCGATACAAGCTCCTGGCAATAGATTGAAGGGGGAGAAGCCTGAGGAAATGGCTGTACAGAGTAGCACAGTAACACTGGACGACACTGACGCTACTCTACGCTTAAAAAAAAAGAAATCGCAGAATCTCAAGCATTCGCGAGCACGCAGTGTGGATGATGTGTTTCCTGAGCTTCCCCTAGACTTCCTCCCTACTGTAGTCACCTCCGCGCCTGACGAAGTGAAAACAGACAGAGGTTTCCCGTCGAGTTCGCTCAGTCGGTCTGTAGAGTGCATGTTTGGACAGGAGTTTTCGCCGATGGAAGAAAAGAGCCTCGATTTTGCAGAGTATTTGCATGATAATAGTGCGCTTGGTGGGCTTTCTCACAGCCCTTTGGTTGAATCCCATGAACTACATTTTTCGAGGGAAGAGTATTCAAGCGGAGCCTGTACACTGGGAAGAATTTCAACGAGTCCTTTGGTTGATTACGAGGAGCTTCGTTGCTCGCAGGATGTGCTCTCCACTGGTCCTCTGACCGACTGTCAAAAGCTTCGTGCTTCGAGACCAGGTTCGGCTGCTTATGTGGAGACCGAAATCCATACTGAACTCGTAGACCGAGAGTTTTTCGCAGCGGGGTCGGATAGCATCCTCTGGGAGGATGACATCGTTGAAACAATCCTCAGTGCGCCGTGTTGTGAAAGGAGCTGCTCTGGCCCGTCAATTTCCTCTCGAAGTGTTTCTTCTGATGTTGAAGACGAACGAAACGATGCGTGGAGTTCCTGCGCTTCCTACAACCCTGCAGACCACGATTCCCCTAGCAGAACTTTTGAGGTAAAGACGCGCCCAAATCTCCCTCCACTGCAGCCGTTTTTTATATGCCGATCTATTCTCTCGGATGCTCTTTAGACGCACTTGAACATGAAAAGTAGTCCTCGATTGTGCTGCAGCTTCCCGAGATAGACGTGGAGCTTGAGTCGTCTCCAATGTTTGTGAAAAAGACACTGGAAGGTAGTGCCGACGCAACAGCTTCGGAAGCAGATGAGGCCGGGCAACCCAGCCCCGTGTCCATCCTGAATTCACCTTTCCTTGACGAAGCTTGCACTACTTCCGAATCTAGTCTAACAGGTAGTGAAATCCTTTCAATATCAAAGATGGTGAAGTCCTCTTCAGATGAATGCCTCCAGGTTATTGTTATGTAATGAAATGGGTGGTAATTGATTGCATCTATGTGCGCAATTCTGACGAATTCCTCTGTTGCAGAGTCTCTGCGACAGTTCAACTCAGAGGTTGTCGACGACTATCAGGGAACAGGTGATTCAGACGTCCCCTCCAGTTATCACTGCGCAGTTGAAAGCTCCAGCGCGAAATCCAGCAATGCCCACAAGATCCGCCAAGCACTCTTGGACATATCTATGTTCCGGACCTTGGAGGTGAGCTCGTTTGATTTCAAGGAGCGGACTTCACTGGGCCCCGAAGATGAGCAGAGCTTCGTCCGGGAAGTGCTCTCCGCCGCGCATTTTCTTTGCACGCCTGGATCGTCACCCAATTGGTTCAGCCGCGACTTACCCATGGATCCGTCTCTATTCGACGGCCTCGAAAGCGGCGATATTGAGGGTCTCGAACCCCCCCAATCGTCAGGCGTCGTCGACAATTGGTTCCAGACCTTGGGCGGCGAATGGCGCTGTGATCGAAAACTCCGCTTCGATTGCATAAACGAGGCGTTTGCCTTAACGCTGTGGCACCACAGATGCCCGAAGGTATACTTGCAAGATCTTCACGCGTACATTCCACGTCCCAGAGGGCAGAGCCTGGTAGAAGAAGTATTCAGAAAGATAAAAGAGTGGCGGAAGCTAGCGTCATTCGCAATAGATTCTTTGATCGAGCGGGACATGAACATGCACTTCGGCAACTGGACGAACCTGCATCCCGAGGTCGCTGAAGTTGGAATGGATATCGAGAGCTCCCTTTGGAAATCCATGCTTGAGGAGCTTGTGATCGACATCGGGTCAGCCTCAAAAAAGTGCCAATCCTATGTAAGAAACCATCAAATGTGAAACGATTTACTGCAACCACGGTAGCGCAGATTTTTGGACTGTTAGGAATTAGGGAGAGATTGACAATCATTCGACCGAGGAGCACCCCGGCTGGCCTTGTGTGTAGATAAATTACGCCGCCAGGGAGAAGCTGGCAAAAGACTGTTTTGAGGTTTAGGCCATAGACTGACCCATTTGAGACGTATTTATATGGCTCCACTCTGCCGAGAATTTGTACATAAAAGGCCCAACACTACCCTTTAATAATTGTTGTGAACATGCTTTATGTGGTTCCTTAACAACTTCGAGGCAACGAGGATTGTGTCCTCATCTGCAACTCTGTGTCCTTGAAACGAAAAGGCCAGGGGCAGGTGAAACTCATCAATAGGGCGTCCACGTGCTGCCACCATGTTGCAACATGGCCGAATACCCTCGGACCTTCCAGCAAACTCTTCTTTCCCTTCAGAATGAATAAATTGCTCTTCAGCATTCAGATTACTGAAGCCTGTGCAATATCCTCGAAATCCTCAGGATCTCCTCGTTGTCGACCTCTGAGCTAAACTGAAACAATGGCTATGCCGAAACGATCCACAGCTGCTGCATCTTACGGTGTGGTAGGAGCACTACTAATGATCACCTTTGCCATGGAGCTGGTGTCAGGTTTATATTTGTGCCCCACTCCTCTGGAAGTGTGGGCCACCCTGGAGTCATGCATGCCTTCCATTGAAGGCCCACGCCCTGTTCCTCCGAATGCCGGCTGCTGCTATGTGATTCGAACCACAGAGCCAAGTTGCTACTGCAACGCTTTCGCCGGCTATGAGAACAGTCCGTCTATCAACGAAAGGTACGCTATGTCGCTGCCCGAGCAGTGTGGTCGCGTTATGCCTGCCAACTTCACCTGCAACGGTGAGTGCATCCACCCACTTTTCCATTTCAATCTTCCATGTTTCGTCACAACTCCACCAAGTCCTGCAGTTGCAGCTTCTGCATGAGAGAATTGAATGTTACTAGCGCTTGATTTTCCACTTAAGGTTCGTGTTGTTGTTCTGTAACATGTTCAGGGATCCGAGTTCCTTCGAGTGTATTGCCACCAGGTCGCAAACTCAAGCTCTTCTAGTGAGCAACAAAGTCTTGCGTGGTGTGAGATATGTCGATTGCCATCAGATTTGTGTGTAGGGGAGTAAAAATTGCTGCAGATTGCAGAGTGGGTTGTTTCTCATTGTGAAGTATGTGTGTGGGTCAATCGTAGTTGGGCTGATCTCAAGCTCAGGTTTGCGAGGAAGGGTAGCAGGATTTGGTCCAGAGTGTATAAACGAGTTTGAATAAATGATAGGGAAGCGTGTTTATATGTTGCATGGTTTATAGGGTGGGTATGATAGGTGTGACGGCAACACCCTATTTCAAAGTCATGAGTTTCTGTGCCTAAATAAATAAATAAATATAATGATTGTAGTAAAGAAGTACAAACTTCCAAACTCATAGTAAGTTGAAAATTATTAAAATTCATCTCGAAAGTTTGAAAGTTTTTGAATGTGCATAACAAGTTCGAAATATATTGGGGAATGGTGAGTTCGTTAACTCAGAACTATAACCTGTAACAGAATTTACACCAAACACCAAACACCAAACAGCATCCAATCGTGTTCACTCATATTACAACTCTGTTGCCAAACCTGAGTGGTGGAATATTCTTAGAATAAGGAGGAGCTGAAAGGTCTGAAGCAAGAAAGAATTGAAAGCTTATTTATATTTATAAGCGGATTTTGCACATGTCTACACATACATATTTGCTGGTTTAGTTTGTGCTCCAATTAATCTTGCCTTTGAGCATCACCAATCAATGTGCAAATGTTGGTATGTAAAAGAAACTTTTGGACTAGCTTCAGAATGCATGTCTCACAAGGACATTTCAATAAACAACAATGGCTGAGAGAAGTGAACATCCCCAATTTAAAAAGGCTTTTTATTTGTAAGTAATCACTTATTAATCATGGTTCACTTCTAAAGCAGAAAATGTATTTCTTACATGATGGTGACGGGGCCAGTGATTTGTTGAGAATTTTTTAATTTTTTTTTGTAAAAATTTTAAAAATTAAAAAAACCACAAACTCAGATACATACATACATATACATTGGAGAAAATAAAATAAAATGCAAGAGAAAGAACAGAATAGAACAAAAAAAGAAATGGAAAGAAGGCGAAGCATAAGTAAGAAAAAAGAAAAAAGAAAACAAAAAAAACAAAAAAAGAAACCAAAAAAGAGGTGTAAAAGAATAACATTTGTGAATTTGGCTTTCTTTTAGTTTATTCTTAATTTATATTAAATCAATGTAAATATCTATAACTATTTCTTTATATTTTTGTACTCATTTGTTGGTTTCATTTCAGTATCTTGAATTAAAGTTTTTTTAAACCCTAAATTACTTCATTTAAAGATTCTGTTTAAGAGTGTAGTATAATATTGTTGACATGCTCTTCATTTTTATAATACTAAGTTAAAACTTGAAATCTTTTATAATGTTTTTAATCCTATAATTAATACAAACATCACAACTTATTATTTTTAATGCTAGCATAATTACATCCAATTCATGATAAATATTCAGAACAGCTATATCTTTATGTAAAAATAAAAGTTAATTTATAATGATTATTTTTTATAGATTATTTCATAGATTTATATATATGTATGTATGTACACATATGTATACATACATTTCACACACGCACACACACACACACATATATATATATATATATATATATATATCTATCTAGAGAGAGAGAATCACATTGTACATTATGATATATTAAGTTGTCAATCTTGAATGTGCCAATAATAAACTTTAGATCCAAATTTAGCAAGAAGTCATATTTTTTATATCCATTTAATAGAATAGATATTATTGGTCCCACCTATTACTCGTTGCGGCCCTTAAAAGATGATCAAAGAAGTCCGATCATGTCCAACGCCCATTTCAATCAAGCTCCCGGACAGGATAACTCCACAGCCCTAAGCACTAAACTCTTAACCCTAATCCTAAAATCACGAATCCAAATTGTCCTCAGTTTTCACACATGCATCGCATACTGCCAACCTCCAAGTGCACAAGAATCTAATTCTCACCGCCCGTTCGAACACCACAACATGATGCGCCTCACGCCATGATTGAACACAAGCATCGACAACACAGAATCACTATCGCCTCTCGTAACCTCGTTCCACGAACAACACAATTGCGAAATGCCAACAATTTTAGACCTAAACAAAAGCCTCCCACAACGTCGTCCATAAACTCATTTCCACGAATCGAGCATCACATTGAACCAAGTCCACTGCCTTGGTCCCACATCTCCTGGACGCCTTGAAGGTCCATCGAAACTATTTGAAGTGCGCACGAACGCTTTAACCTTTAAAAAGGATCGGTTGGTTAAATAAACTATGCAGGTCTTCGGACTTGAGCTGAATGGACTATCAAGACATATGGCCGACATTATTTTTGTGACCTTGTAGGATTAGCACGCTTTGCCGACCCTCCAAACACACGCTCAAAATCCCAACACTCGCAGATAGGAACGCTAGATAACTGCAGTTATACAATTGGTAACACGCAGATCTCTGTGACTTGGCACAGGGAGAGTATTCTGGTAGTTTTTACTTTTCAGTGACCCCGAACTGGGTGTTACGAATATAAGTTATCGGACCGCGTATAAATATTCACCAAACCCCTCAAGTTTCTCATTTACTGCCATACAGGGTGCAGTATTGTGCTCTTGTGTGATCAATGAAACCCTTTCGCTGCACACACTGATTTATAGTATTTCTTTGCATGACTTTTGTGTAAACACGATCATTCTTGTTCGAATTGGTTCGCACAATATTTCAGGATAGACAATAAATCTTCCGTTGACAAGAATGGCAACACCCCAATCCAAGGAAGAATGCTATTCCCCATTTTACCCCATGTACGAGTTGTTTACCTTCGACGAAGCATCACTAGGATGGCAATGGAATTCTAGCCAGGTCATCGAATGTGGTTGCTCATGTTTCTGGGGCATTGCCATAATACGCATCCAATCGTAAAAAATACCGAAGACGACGTCGTCGACTCAACATTCCTCCAAGACTTCGACGACAGGCTCGAGACAAGGGAGCTTCATTACAATAGACTCATGGTTGAGGTGAAATGGTTAACATGTTGAACTCCATTCTGAAGTTTGTTCAGAGCTTTCCGAGACAAAGCAGCACAAGCAAGCCACAGGACCTGTCATGACATGGAATTGGGCTCAAAAGATGTGTGAAATCACCCCACATTGGATCGAAACAAAAGGGTCTAGATCAACTACATATTTGTCAATGAGGCAAACTTATCGCCTTCACTGACTTGTCCCATCGCTGAAGAGGCCACTATTAGAGACGGAGTCTGGCAGTTTGCACAAAACTATTTTTTATTCCGTCACAAGATTTATCTGTATATAGGCCAACCATTGGGATTTGGGTTTTGGAATTGCTATATTGATATGAGTTGTGTAAGTGAAGATGTTTTCATTTTATGCGTAGTATAAAATAGTTCCATAGATAGAACGGGATTCATGAGATTCTTAAATTCGAAGTAGCAATAGTTTTTTTTTTTTTTTTTTTTTTTTTTTAAACTTTGCAACTTCTAGAAATGATAGATTTGACAATTAAATTCATCAATCTAATTGTAATATCATACTAATTCAAGAGTAAAAATTCTATAATTAAAAATCATAAGATTTAAGAAGAATACTATGGTTGAAGACTAGCTTTTATATTCTTTAAAGAATTTAAAGTTTTTTTGTTTTTATAAATCCAAATAGAGCTAATGCACAAAAAAGAGGATGTATTCTTATCTTGCTATATGTAAAATAATTAATAAATAATATAGGTTATCTAAAGATTACCTTCAAAAGATTATCTTGAGACACCTTTGATATTAGTAACATCTACATATTAATTAAGTATGAGAAAATCAATAAAGAAGAAGAAAAAATAATTAACCACTTGCAATAGGATATATCTTAGATCTTTAAAAGAGATTGGAATATAAAAAAAATAAAAAAATAAAAAATATAATTATAAGGTATTTTAGCAAAAGAAGAATTAATAGTATAGAATCTACTTAAGATTAAGTATGAAGGATAAGAGCTTAAGGAATGTAAATATTTAAATGAGATTTTTTTTAAAGAAAGATAATATATATATATATATATATATATATATATATATTATACTGAAGAAGAAATTAAAATGATTGTTATTAAAGTCTAAAAAAATTAAAAATTCTTAATATTAGACTAGAAGTAAGAAATGAATTGATAAGAGTAAAGAAAGCTTCACTTGTGCTTCTATATATATTATCTAACTAGGAGCTATGTAACAACATTCTATAAGATCTCTAACACATGTCCAACTTGCAAGGTATATATCTAATTTGTAAGACAAGTTTTTTATATAAACATTATCTGTTTAAGTTGTACCACAAGTGACCAATACATGTGATATATAGCCAACTTGTTGGTTAAGTTTTCAATCTATCAATCACCAATAGACACAAAGAAAAAAAGAGTTGTATCTATGACGCTTTTAAGAATCTTTTCTACAATATATTATCAAATTTATTTACTTTTCTTTACTTCTATCTACTCATATTATCTTAATAATTATTAAATAATATATATGTCCATAATATTATCCTCTTCTTATCATCTTTTTTTTAAAAAATTTCTACAAAATATAATATTTATTAATTAAAAAAGTCTAAAATATAAGAAATTATATTTGTGATATACTTTGATATTTATTTCCTTAAGAGATAGTTAATAGGTCCTCTCAATCATTGATAGTATTTCATATTAGGATAAAAAGACCACTTTGGTATTTGATTATGTTTGAAGCCTTCATAACTTCCTTCAAATAAAACATTTGGAACACCATCAAAAGTAATTCTTACTTCTAATAATATCACAAAATATTGGAAGTTTCTTTGAAGGTTGTAAAACTAAACTTGTTATATTCCACTATCTATTTGAAAAAAAACATATTATTTTTAAAGGTCTTTATTTTTTTTATGCCATCTTGAAGGTTGTAATAATTATAATATCTTATTTAGTGTTGTATGGCATAATTTATGATATGAGAATATATTAAGTATGTAATTGTAGAGAATTTAGTTTTAACTTGTTGGCCAAATTCTAATAAGTGATTTATTCTTAATATAAATGATAAATAAATATAAAAATATGAAAATATATTTTACTAATAAAATCTTTTCATATTTATGAAGGTTTATATATAAGGCTTTCTAGAACATCTAGAAATTTTG